AGGAGTCAAAGTTTTATACATGTATAAAAACATAGGAAATATCTTTAATTTTTTTTCTCCTTCAAAAGATTATTAGTCATATAAGTGAGCAAAAATGCTCAAGAAATGCATATAGAAGTTTGTTCATATCATGACTGCTGAGGGTAGGGTGTGACCAAAAGATTAGATCAGAGTTTTTTGTAAGAAAATATAAAACAATTTCTTTTTAAAAAGCATTTTTTTCTAGAGTTGCAAGGGCAAACTAAGTCATATTAATATGCATATATACCAAAAAATGCGTGGATTCAATTTTTTTCAAGTGTTGACCCTATATGTCAATGTTTGCTTTTCTTTTACTCAAGTTGTGTGTAATCATATCCCTTTGCTAACAAATACGTACGAGTATCGAACACTAAAATTGGTACTCGGTTACTCTGATGTACATTTTTTTCATATTTCAAAGTGCATATATTTATTAAAAACTTAGCAAAAAATGTGATTTTAGCATGCATTGTCCGTGTCTATACACTTTTCTCTAGTACCCGGGTACACGATCTGAAAATCGTCCGAGTAACCGATTATCAAATATTGACCGATTTGACATCCGTACTACATAGTAATGATTTTACCTTACATGCTGGGTCATGCTAGGATATTCCATTCTATGCCATCATAGACATTGGTTAGAAAAAAAAGAGCTTGATTTAGGACGAATGATCTCTAGTCTGGTGTTCTAATTCATGTGCAAAAAATACCGAAAACCAATAAAAATAATGAAATATTGCATGCTGTATGTTTGACAAACTAGTTGAATTCTTAGCCCTTCTACTACAAAAAAATGTTTCTAAATCTTTTATAATGGTTATATTACAACAGCTACAAAGAAATGTTAATGATAAGCACGTTTTGCTTTCTAGATACCATTGCATTGTTTAAAGGTATATTTTTCAAACTGCATCTCTATACGTATTAAAATTCATTTCGTTCAAACCTTAGAAGGGGTCCAATTCAACATTTTATGTATATTAAATATCACATTTTTATCAGTATCAATTTCCAGAGAAGGTATTTCTTCCTCTTATGTGAATCTAGATTAAATGTGATAGAGACCTAAGATTTTTGATCGGAACATTGAAAAATTCTTTGTGTATTTCATACAAAATTCCTTTCTAATTAAAACAAAGAAAATTTTAAAGAACTTATATCATCATTTTAAAAAAAAAAAAAAGACAAATAAACGTTCATGCCCTTACTTAAACAAAAACACCTATCATTTTGCATATTTAGAAAAACACCTATAGAATTTGATCCAGCAATCGATCACTTTCATATTTATTTGTAAGTCAGGTAGTACTTTGACCTCACATGCTCCACGACTTGTTAGGTCAAACTATACCAAAACCAGTCACTGGAGAATCGTAAATATAAGGCCACAGCATTTTCTATGGCAGAAAAAAATATTATTATGCATACAGACTCAAAATCAAAAATGCGTTAAAACACTGCAATCCATCAAGCATTTTTCTTATGTACAACTTACGTTCTTAATATAAGATAATTTGGATTGTAATAAAAAGCCACTTTCCTGCGATAGAATTTAGCTTTACGTTAAGTCAGGAGACTGATTTATGTCAGCGTACTCAATAAATTAAAAAAAAAAATATTACAATTTCGAAGATATTTTTTTTTTAATTTACGATCACTTAGTTGTGGAGCTAGTGATTGATGTGCAAGATAAGGCGTATTTTGATTTCACTCGTAAGATTAATTATGAACTGATACCCTCACTTGAACCGGTATATTTATGCATGTTTTATATTCCGTGAAGCAAATTGTCAAATCACGCAGTTATTTTTTTTTTTTTTCATTTTAACTTTTTTATTTAAGCCCAATGTAATTTTTTAAAATTAAATCTACATTAACGAATAGGTGTCTATTTTTGTACGTTTAAACGACGACCGACTTTGGGGCACGTGATAATTCACATGACCGATATAAGCCACGTGATGATTTGCGTAATCGGCAAAGTTTTTATTACGTGCTCCAGTGTGGTTTTCGTCCTCATATAAGCAAAAGAAATCTACGATGGTGTTTACTTACGAAATAAGCGTTATTTATTTATATAATTATTTATATATTTAACACACGCATACTAAAAAAAATCTATAAGTATTTGTTTTAATGGCGTTTCAATCCCATGGCCTACTAGCTCCGACGTAATGACTACCAGACAAGCTCGGTCGCAATCATTTTCTGTGTCTTTGGTTAATATAACTCGGGTCCCTATAACGACACAATTGTATAATGACATGAATATCATACGGAGACTGTCTGAAGTTGTCGGTTGATGGATTAACAGTACTGTAAATATATGTTATCTTTCTTGAAACATATGTTACATTAAACATTTTAATCTTAATTTAAAATTATCTATAACTATAGATAATTAGATATAGATACGTTTAAATAAAAAAAATCAGACTTTTAATGTAATAAATATGTTGCGTGAAAGCATACAAGTAATTTGGCTTCTTTTTAAAAAAGAAATTATGCTAGAAGCCGACACTTACATGAGTTTGTTTAAAAGTGGCTGTATATCTGATCAAGATATCCAAACGAAATCAATGGCATTAATATTTTAATTACACGTACTGATTTAGCTTTTGGTTATAGTATAAAGAGCAAGGTCCAACTAGGGATTTTTTTTTTTTTGGTCTCGTGAATATCTGAAAAAAAAAATAAAATTGTTCAATTTTAGTTGTCAATGCAATAAATTTCACTTGGACCCTTGGTGACTGCAAAACTTTTTAAAATGACGTAATTTTCTCGCTGGTGCATGCATTATGACGTCATGAATTGCTTCATTTTTTCCAAATCCTAAAAGTTTCTTCGAAAATGGCAAAAAGTGAAACTGTTTTTCAAAATTTGTATAGAGTCCAACCAATGATCCAAAATGTGCAATTATATAATTAAAGAATTTTTTTTTTGGAATATTATAAAACATGGTTTTTTTGTGGGGCTGCACGGCTAGGAAACGCGTCCCCCTGGTGGCGGATAGGGGATCCCTCACTTATTGAGGGGTGCACCGGATAGACTGAAGAAGGTGCCGTGGACCAACGCAGCATAAGGGAAGGACACCCTGACAGAAAACCACTGGTCCTCCAAGCTTGGATTTGGGCAGGAGGCCGACTACCTTCTCCCGGAAAAAACGACAGTTACAGAAACAATGAACATCAAAGTGCAAAGAAGACCGGGTGAAGCGGGGACCGCCAACAGTGGCAGTAGGACGACGATGGGTGAAAGCCATAGGGAAGCCCAGCGTCCGACTAGATCCCTTGTGACACCCAAACATTCACCATCGGGCACTGGAATGTGCGAACTATGTACAGGGGAGGGGCATCAGCACAGATTGCGAGAGAAATGGAAGGATACCAGCTGAGCATTCTTGGAATCAGTGAGTGCAGATGGACAGGAGCTGGGAGGATGAGACTGGCCTCGGGCCAGATCGTCATATACAGCGGGGATGAAGAACTGCATCTTCAAAAGGATAATAATGATCAGCCAGCAGGAAGTGAAATCACTCATGGAATGGACACCCATCAGCAAGAAAATCATAACAGCAGGACTCCATACAAGATACAGGAGAGTGTCGGTGATCCAAGCTTATGCGCCACATAATGAAGAAGAGGAGGAGAAGGACCAATTCTATCAGGAACTACAGGAGACCTTGGATGGATGCAACAAGATTGTTATCATTATTATCATGGGGGACCTCAATGCCAAGGTATGGAGTGATAATAACGGGTATGAAAGAACTATGGGTATCCATGGACTGGGTACATAAAAGAGAATGGAGAAAGACTGTGTGAATTTTGTCAGACCAACGGACTTGTAATCACAGGAACAATGTCCCCCATAAAGACATTCACATAGCAACATGAGTGTTTCCTACTGGAATAGCAAAAGGCCAGATTGACCACCTTCTCATTAGTTGGCAGTGGAGACCTTCTGTTCGTCACACCAAAGTCCAGAGGGGAGTGGGTGCCAACAGTGACCACTACCTGGTGAAGACCCGAATCAGGTTATATCTCAGCACACACAAGAACAAGTTGAAACCAAGACTGGATATAGAGCACCTCAAAAACAAAAAAGTTTAATGACTGCGTGAGAAAGAAATTAGAAGAACACAAGTGTCTGAATTTACCGAGAGAATTAAGATAAGGTAAGGTTATCTTTTCGATCGAGGGGTGGGCTCATATTTAAATTTTCCGCTGAAGATACTCACCAACACGTTTTCTGCAAAATGCAAACGAAAAATGGCATTACAATTTCACTCTATTTTTTAAATACCTGGTCTCTCAGAGGATACGACCGTTCACTGTAGTTCAGTCGGTAGAGCTCTCGCTCCGTGATCGGGAGGTCGTGAGTTCGAATCTCGGCCGCGATTGACCTAGGTCGATAAAAAATAGGTAGCAACGTTCCTTCGCCATGCGCTCGGCACTTTGAAATAAAAGTTGCGGGTCCTTCGAACCGAGACCCTGTGTCATGGCAGGCGTTGGCACGATAAAGATCCCTCACTGCTCAATGGCCCTGAGTGCAGAGTAAAGGTCAAAATTTGAAGCTCTTCATCGGTATATGGTGACGTCTCTATATGAATGAAAAATTATCCAATGGGACTTAAAACAATATACAATCAATCAATCAATCTCAGAGAAAACTGTTCTAGAAAATGAAAGTACTAAGTCTCACAAATGCATAACGTTTTTCACAAAACATTTCTAGAAGAAAATGATCTATTATTTTTACAGGAAATCAAATTCAACACTTAAATATTGAATGTGTGTGAATATTTTTAGCACCTCCGATCTATAGATTTCAACATCTGTATTCTGCCACAGTGACTGATGTCTTAACTATATTTGATAATATTATCTGGCACACGTTTTCTTTTTAGAAATAGAAAATTTTAATTATCACGACCTTTAACCCATCCAATGCCATAAAAAACTTTAACACAAATAAAAGACATTAAACTTTTTAATAATCAAATTCCAATATTTTTACAGTAACACATCAAGGCAGATATTATTGATAACTTCCATTTATTACCTAAGTAAATTAACATGCACTGTAGCTTTAAAGAGGGTTACATGTATATTCTGAACAATTCAAATTGATGAAGAGACATCTCTATGCGTACTTTTTTCGGGGGAGGGGGTGTTAATTATTTGTAGGTATGACTCTCTGTTCCACCATGGCCAAATCCTGGTTAAGAAGAAAAAGAAATAAAATTCACAACAGATAAGTTATATTTTTCTGGTGTGTGATATTACATTGCTTCTAAAAGGTTTAATTGCAGTAAAAATTAAAGATTTGATATGATAAACTAAGTTTAAGATCTTTCTAATTTATCTCTGTCTTTAAGCTTACTTATTTTAGCGGTAATCATAGCTTAGCGCCTACAGCGCTGCTTTTTGTCGCTCAATGTATGATTAAAACTAATATATATTGCTTTGAAGTCTTACGTGCGTTATGATTGTGCAAAACAATTGAAAAGGAAGATTGCGCTGTATTAAGTGCTCTAACTTATGTACGTGTACAGTTTAGTGATTTTTGTAAAGATTTAAAATAACATTAATTACCTTTAGGGCCAAACAGGGCTGCGTAACAAGGATTATTACAATATGGTTTACCTTCTCTCTGAAAAAAAAATAATATACTTAAAATCGTAATAAAACTCAACCACCTTTACACAGAAAGAGAAACTGACAATCTGAGAAAACAGAAAAAATTTTTCTAGAAATTGTTACTTTTGTACAGTATCACATTATAGCCAACAAATCATTAAAAATATCAAAATGTACAAATGAATGTGAAGCATAAAATGCATTTAGCATTATGGTGATTAAACTGTAGATAAATAAATACTCATGTTGCAAAAATGCATTCGAAGTTTTGAAAATAACTGCAGTCAAAGGATGGCTCCCATTATAAATTTACTACATAAAAATTTCTTACGCCATTCACAGGTGCTTGAGTACAGCCCCCACCCCCGCCCCCGAAATAGACCCGTTTCGCCTTTTTTCCCAGATATATTATCTTTCAATGTCATATTTGTGATATTATCCATACCATCAATTCGAAAAATTACCTAAAACAAACATTTTATAAAAATTTCTACCCACTCTATGTAGATTTATATATATAATGAGTAGAGTTTTTTTTAAATTTTTTTTTTAATTTTTTTTATTTTATTTTATAAAATTAATGTTTGTTTTAGGTAATTTTTCAAATTGATGGTATGGATTTTATCACAAAGATCTCATTGAAAAAGATAATATATGAGCAAAAAGTCGAACGGCCCCAGGGGTCTATATCGGGGGAGGGGGGGGGGGTCCTATCCTCAAGCACCTGTGAGGCCACTATATCAACCTCTGGAATGCTTTAAAAAAACTAGTTAACACAAAAGTGTAGGTCTCTCTGCATTTATTTGATACATTACCTCAGCATGGCTACCTGTTGTCAAAGTCTTATTGCATTTTGTACACTTTAAACATGCTCGATGCCAGTCTTTTCCGATTGATGAAACCTTTTCGGCTATAACGAGAGCATAAGAATTAAAAGTTTTAAACGTTCATCTAAAACAATATTTGTTCTATACTAAACATTTTTTAAACACAATTAGAAACTTTATTATTTTGAACCAAGATTAAATTTTATCTGACAACTTATTCTACAGTATTCATTTTCTCCTCCACCGCTTCTCTAATATAGCATATTGTCAGTGTGAAATTAACACATCCAGGTATCATCGAGTATGTTTATTTATTTATTTATTTATTTTGAGTTGTTAAGATGCAGTCGTAGCTAACTAAACTAGTTATTTATTACGGTTATTGATATTATCAACTCTTTATTTCTTATCACTGGGTGGATCGGTTGTTAAGGGCTTTGACATGAACTTTATGGCTATTAAGAGTTGCCACATGATCATGTAACCTCTGATTAAAAAAGCCTCCATGAATTCCATAAAAACCAGTCTTTAGAAGTTTTATCTTCACCTGCATTTTGTTTTTTAAAGCCCTGGCTCTTCTACCTGTGCCCTACCTGTGTGCAAAATATTTTCTGAAAACCAAAATCTGTTTTGAAGCAGAAGAGATATCTTTTAAGCTTGATTAAAAACATTTTTTGGCAATTTTTTTCCAATTACATTTTCATTTCATTCATTTCTTCAGCCCATACACTTACTCTAAGTTTTACAAACGAGTATAGATGGGCTTTTTAATTAAAGAAACCATATAATTGGATATTCTGCGTGTTGATGCAATGTTCACAACATAAATCATTTCTTGCAAAACATGTTATCATTGTTGATTTAATGTGTATTTTGCTGCAATCCGCACGTGTAAAAAAATTAAATAAACGGTTCTTAGGCAAAGTGATTAATGATAAAAGGAATTGCACGGTTCAAAGTCGACCTCGTAAATCTAGAAACTACTGCAAAATAATATGTAAAATATAAAAAAAAGAAATCCTCTACACAGGTGCAGTAAAACAAGACAAGATCGATTATTTAGGCTGCGGCAAAAATTGTATTAGTTTACTTGCCACAGAATAGAAAGTCAATACGACTAAGGATTGGGTGGATCAGACACTTGATTTTTTTTTTCGGGGGGGGGGGGGTGTCAATCTCCATTTTCTTTACTCACAAATAAAGATTATGCAGCGGTATAGTTCGTACATATAGCTCTTCAGTCAGTATCAGTCACTATACGTTAAACTGGTCGGAAGAAAAAGCAAAATGCATAATCCAGTAAGCTTTTCGAAAGTCTGAAGTGCAATGCAGTGGATTGTCGTATTTAAAGATGCATCAAGTAAAGATTTGCATGTGGTTGGCAGTTGTACAATGTTAGCTATGAGTATACATTGATTCAAATATGTGAATATCCTTTGGTCAACACCCTCTAGCTTTAAGTGGCACGGAAAGAATGTCGATTGTTGCTTCAGTATTTTCTTGCATAATAAGTGGGAAGTAAACTATACATGTATTTGAAAGGCGCAATTCTTTAAAAGGATGTCTATCCAGCTAAAAGGCATGCTTTCATATTTCAAGTGATGAAAAAAGTTTTTTTTCCTGTTATAATTGTTCGACATTTTAACGCATTTACAAATTACCACTGCTTTTGAATTTACACTTCATAACACATAAAGCTTTTAAATTGAATGCAGCATAGATTCATGATCCACACCAATATGTTCTTTTTCCCGACATGAATTATTGATCGTGTTGTCTAATATTCATTTTATGATTTACAACTATATATCCTACAGAGTAATGACTCACTGAATAAATGAACATTGCAAATTTACGCAATTTTGAACAGGGAAACGCCCGTCATTGCTACGCTTCATAGGGATCTACAGAAAGTACATCTTCACATTTAATATAGATATTATATCTTATCTTGTTTTAAAAATAAATAATCTTTTACGACATCTATCTCTTTTCTGTTGAAAATGTGCTATTTACACTTAATTCATCTTATGAACTCAAGTTCATGATAACATTACTACACAATAAAACACTCCACGCGTAATTTTATATAATGCTTCAATAAGTGACAACTTCCTTATATGGACACCATCTAATTCCTCGTGATTATTGAAAAGCAAATTTCCTTGAATATAGTAATAAAACCTACCGAAATACACCTCTTTGTTGCACGTTGGGCACTTAGGCATGGTTATCCACGGTAGATATTTCTTTACTTGTCGATAGACAGTTGCAGAAGACTTTGTGTCACCAACTGATGTCGTCTGAAAAGTAAATCATTACGGTACACCAAAACAGCAATAATCCTATAAAAAAGGGAATTTCTTCCTTACGGCTGCATAGTCAGCATTAAAATAAAATATTTTTTTTAACCTTAATTTCTTAACTTTACTGTAGTATCCCTTATTTGATGCTTGTGACTTGAAATATATACCGCCGTATAATCTAATTTAATTGGAATCATCCCTTCAAGATATCAAAATAGCAAATTTGAAATAAAAATTAGATTTACCATTAAATAAAAAAAAAGTAGGCATGCATTTCATTTTAATAAGTTTTTTTTGCGGGGTCTAGTGTGAGCAATTGCCCCTGTCCTTTGAATATCCTAGGCATAGTGTTTCTTTTTCTGCAGCTAAATGTGATGTATTATAATGAAGTAATTGTCGTTTTCTAGCTTTATTCTAAACAATTACAATATGTTATACATATAATATGTACTTTGTTATCTATAGAAAATCCTATACATTTCAGTTCTCGTCAGAAGGATCAACATGAACGTAAAAATGTGTACGCTAAGTACCTTCTCTAAAAACAAGCGTCCGATGATAAAAACGTGTTTCTTTTCTATCAATTACAATTTTAACCAATCTGTCAAAGTTTTTGTCCTTTAAATAATAATATATATCCATTTTATTGCTTATGTATCATTATCCATTGATAAATTTAGTCAAAAGATATCAAATATTGTGACTTTCAACCAGATACAATGTATAATTTGTTTACGAAGCACATTGAAATATCCTCAACAACTAACTACAACAAAAATATAACGTGTTCTCTTCACAATTAAAAAAAAAAAGATATGACAATCTGCTGATAAACTGTTCTCTTCTTCCATGGAGGTCCTTATAAGACTTCGACATTCACCACCCCCACCCCCACCCCACACCCACACACCCTCTCACACATATACACCCCTCACACACACACACACATACACACATTGAAAAGAATGGATTGATGGTTGTGATACATGTAAATGATTGTGAAAAACTCCAATAACCCTCTCATTACTGAAAATACCATAGAAGGTTTAAATTATCTTAACAAATTTTGTCTCCAAGGTTCATCGTACATTTTCAATTTGTAAATATTCGATATTTCTCGTTTGCTCACTTTGCACACGGCACTCTCACAGCCTCGCCCCTGTAAATTGTAAATACTTCGGAAGCCTAGGTGAGAATTCTTACCTGTATATAACAGCAAGTTGGAAACAGTAAAATAGGATAACCAAACTGGGAGGGGTCTTATTATATAATAAAGTGTTTAAACTTGTGAGATTATTTTTCAGTATGATAATTATTTTAAGAATAATCAACACAACAAATTTTAGGAAAGAATGCATGTAATGAATAATCATGACATGACGAATAATTGACAAAATGACCCTAAACCCTTTGTTTATCGATTTCAAGTGTCATAATTTTATGATTGAACAACTTTTGACTTAACAATTTTTTTAAGTACACATCAATAGAATACAATTTTCGTACATGTGATTGATATTTTTAAGCAACTCATCTGTGAAATTTGATATTATGGATAAGATATATTCCTTCTCTGTGTATGTTAAAACCTGTTACGTTAACAGCAAATTAAACATCATTGTTAGTGTAGAGTCTTGCTTTTGTTTATAATTTGATTTTTAATCTGTTTATCGATCGTCCATTTGAAAATTTCAGTGTTGTCTGGTGGAAGGACATAATTCCGAGAACACGATATTTTGTTGTTCAAGGTACATTTGAAGGCAATTAAGAGGCCTCCTTTCAGATGTAAAAAGCAGATATCTTACATCAGTTCTTTACAATCCGTTGAGCAAGACACATCAATGGATGAAAGAAGCATTTGTTTAACAAGATGAGCAAATGCCAAGTACTTGAATGAAATTCTAAATGGTATTTAAATTTCAGTTATTTCTTCACTTTATGCATGTATCTTAATTAAATGTATTCCCTTTTTTCAACCAGAAGAATGGCAATTTTTGATTATACCTGTACCATATGACAGTTTGGCCTAACTGTAGAACTGTAGCTCTCTGGGAAATAAAATTTGATCAGACATTCTAGAGCTACACATACACATTCATTCCAAAAAGAGAAAATAAACTTCGATTAACGGCCACACATTTTGTAGCAAGATTCGAGATTTTCATTTCGTGCATTCTACTGCCTAAAGCATATGGTATCCGTAAATAAAACATAATTTACTCCTACTCTTATCACTTCATTTACCTTCAAATGGTTCCAAATGACCCTCTTTAATCTTAGGATACCATGGTTCTTAGTGTTCAATTTGCTAAGATATAGGGACTGGCGTTTTTACTTTCACAATAATTTCTTTTTGGAATCTTTGAATTTAAGGTAAACAAGAGTAGGAGTAAAAGAGAAAAAAAATAATAAATTAGAGCGTTGTCCTAACTCGAATTTTCCTCAGTAAATGGGTCTGTAGTTCTCATATGCCTGTCTGACTTTTATTTCCCAGAGAGCTATTCTTCTGCAGCGAAATTTTGTCCTAACAATTAGGACATTAAACAGTTTCTCAAGAATTTCAAGAGAAACAGATTATAGTGCTAAAATTGTAACTTATCACAGAGGTGATTTGTTTTCAAAAGTTTCTTCTTGCATAAGGACCAATAATGATTGCTGCAAACAAATCGGTTAGTTTCTTTAGGGAAGTAGCCTTAACAATGAAACCAAAATTTTGCAAATTCAAAAAATAGGGGAATGCAGAGAGAGAGAGATGACACAAGATCTAGTGGCATAAAATTGAATTCACATGTACGTACATACTACACCTGTAACTTTTAATAAGGAAAATTGGATTACTTAGCTTTATGTTATTTGGATGATTTTTATTTTAATGTAGGAATTTATAGAATAGAAAAAAGTGGGAATTCATAGAATAGGAAAAAGTTACGAATTAATTGTTCGCATTAAATAAATAATTCACGTTTGCTTTGATAAACATTTGTCAGAAGATAAAGTGATCAATGAAGCAATCGAAGGTCAGAGCAATATAGGTGACACAGTGATTCAGAGGCTCTTATTTCTCATTCTTCTGGTAAACACTTTTACTTGTCAATATCTCTAGCAATAATCGTCTTTTCAATGAGGGAAGTTGAAGAACTTTTAATGATGATTTAGCGGTGTTTAGATGGTTTTACGGACAGTAATCAGTTTTTCTCACCGACTCCGCTTTTGGCTGTAAATATTGTAAGGCTGCACGAAATGCTCAGGATAAAGTGTGATTCGTTTGCATTTGAATTTAGCTGTAAACGATAGCTTTCTGTAAAGGGTAAAAAGAAGAAGAAGAAAGCAATTTAATAAGTATTTAATAAGAGAATCGAAACACACGCCTTCAAATAATTTTATGTCCAAAGGCTGAGCTTGAACTACAACATGCATGAGGAAGATGTCTTTTAATAAGAACAAGTTGAGGAAAATAGGAAGAAAATCAGAGTACTTAAACTGAGATGAAACTACACACATGATAATTTTTATAATGTTTATATATAACTTTACACTAAAGCCGAAGGTTCAAGTCATTTTCTAATTGAACGTCTAGTTTTTTCACTTTTCCACATGTCACCAAAATGATTCAATTTTGTTCAAATAATGAGTTAAAAGTATTTCCTACTACAGAAAGTAATTAAGTTAGAGAAAATGGGGTTTTGACATTAAATTCTCCGAAATTTAAAATTTAGAGGTGGGATCAGGTGCCATGGAGGAGTTAGCATCCCCTACCGACCGGTCACACCCGCTGTGTGCTCCTTGTCATGATCGAAAAAAGCCTGGAAAAATCCGAAGACAGTTCAGTGTATAAATAATTGCCTAACATTTAGTATGAAAAACGTCAGTCAGCATTTGACTCAATGATGGGTAGTATGTGCTGACAAGGTTATTGTATCGTCCATAAAACTTGCAAAATGATGGCTTCAAACGAGACTGTTGATATCGTTGTTTCATCAACTTGTTTGTCAATAACTTGCCTCGTTTTAAAAATTGTTCATACATAGAGCATGCTCCTTGTGTATCGATTCAACTGAGAGACATAAATCCATATGCAGGTGATTAGGGTATATTGCTAGTTAAGTAAGGGAAGATGACGATTGAAAAGATGAAGTCATCATGTTTATCATAAAGCTTTGTTGTTAGATTACCATTAACGTCTTCTTCTAGTAAAATATCTAGATATGAAACAGATGTGTCAGACTCTGTGGTATCTTTTATTTCAAGCTCACTGGAATATATCGAGTCGACATATGAATGGAAATTACTATAGTTAATTGATAATGCGTCGTCGATATATCGACGCACAGCAAATGTTTTCTTCTTCTCATATAGAAGTTTTTGAATAAATTCCGCTTCATATGAATACAAAAATAGGTCTGCTAATAACGGGGTGCAATTGGTACCCATGGGAATTCCAACATATTGTTGGAAGACCTGATCTCCAAAAACTACATTGATATCGTCAATCAGAATCTCAAGCATCTTTTTAATATCAACTTCAGAGTACTTGAGAGTACAATCAGAATACTTTTTAACAAAAGGAAGGGAAAGTTAAATATATATAATGTGTGTGATTTTTTTTTCAACTAAAAATCTGCAAATTATAAATAACATGAAAATATCATGAAAATGTTATCTCGGGTATACGCAGATTCTAGGATGTAATCTAATTTAAGGTCATATGCGGAAAGATCTCTTAAACAAGAGATTGTCAAAATATACGTACGATGAAGTCTTGTAAAGTTGCACAAAAGATGTTGAAAGAAAAAAATCCAATTACTAAAATTATTATTTTATTATTTATTATATTTTTATTTTGGACCGAAACCGAAGAACGTGTCAAAATTTTACATTGTTTATAAATGAATTCCTCTCAAGAAGATCAAGAAAACCCTGAAACTTTTCTTTACCTGAGCATCACGCAGAATCTTTTGGCATGAATTATATATAATCTCACGCTAAATCCACTT